GACCGATAAAAAAAGCCACGCATCAATTGTTCTTTAAGATCCTCATGCTGGCCTGCTCCGCTTCGGGGTCTCCCACGTTCTGCATCTGCACAAAGGTGCCTCCACAGGTCTCGATGTTGGCACCAGCGGTGCTCATGACCTCAATGTGTCCCATGACAATTCGCAGGTGTCTGGCTAACATGAGAGGGAAGGCCACTGTTGGTTCACATGCCAAGACTTGACCCACATGGCTCGGAGTCCCTTGACATGTGCTATGACACTGCCAGTAGGGTTCCAGTGGAGTTGTGTCTGTCGCTCTTTCACAGGAGTTCAGTGGAGGATCCTACAGATGATTCTTGGGCCAAACTCAGAGTCTTGCATGGGTTACACATGTGTGAGTATGTTGTGCCGTGCATGATTGCAACAAACACTTGTAGACAATGTTGCAGACCTATTACCTGGCCAAAGCTCCAAGGTTTCGGGGATACAGGCACTTCAGCTTGAGAACAGATGCGACAGATGTTAGATTCCGGAGATTGGCTGACCCCAGCAGCATGGGATTGCATGCGGGCCCGTCAATCCACGATAGACCGAGCTAGAGGCTTTCGCTAATCGATTCCAGAGCTCGCTGCCGTCCAATGCTAGGACCTCCGCTTGGACAAGCACGCTTCGCGCAAATGCGCGGTATATCGGCGTAAGGACATCAAAAAGGCACCGATACGTTTCAGACATTTCCATCTGCCTTATGTAGTAGCTGCCCTCTGCTGGAAGGGTTTGGCTGAAACTTACAAGAACTGCTTGACTAGCAATTGAAGCCTCATAATCTCTGCACTATACAAGAAGTTTGACAACTAGACAGCCCAAATCATCCAGCCAGGGCTGCCTTGCCGGAGAAAGTGAGGATAACTCTCTTCTTCTCCTGGTATCAGAATGCACGCCATGGAGAACTCTGCGCTCATGTGCTACGAATCACTCACCGCTTGCAGGGTACAGTACATTGTTGTCTGCCTGCGCCTGCGTCTCGACTGCTGCCGCAGACCGTGGAGCAAGCTGTGAAGCATGACCTGGGACGGAAGATCACAACATACTATGCTCTGTCTTAGGCTAATGCCTGCGTCAAAACAATCAATCAATGGCCCCTGTACATGGTTGCTGATATCAACGTCGCATGACATCGCTACACTCCTGTATGGCTGTCACGCAATGTATATTTATCACACACACCCTAGATTGCTACTTGTGGGTGCGGCAACGGGCTTTAACGAAAGCTAGGTCAGGTACTTGCAAAACCGTGCGCGCGCGCACAAAGAAGCTGTTCTGGCTTGAAGTCCATGACTCTAAGGCTGTAGAGCTTGCAAGGGTGTCATGTAAAAGCCGGAGTCATGGGAAGCATGACTCCCGTCTTATCCTGGTTCAACTCAAAAAGATGTATTCAAGCCCTATTCGGATTTGTTGAGGCCACCTCTGGACCCTAAACCTTGTCAGCCTTTGTAAGCTTTGATCCCTACGCACTTAGAAGCTCTTCTACACCCAAACCCTTTTCCCATATGGGCTTTTGACCCTACTCATGCAATGATTGCCAACCCCCCCTGGAGGATGACGATCCCCAGTTCAGGGACACCCCACTTCCTTTTGAAGACTATTGTTTACCCCAAGGGGCCCTCTGGCTCACACTTACGCCTTCTTTACGTTTCTTTTGAAGCTTTTGGCACCTCCTTATACAAAACACCCCCCCTTCCCGTCCCGCCCCCAGCCCCCTACGCATTGCCAAATCCCTCCCATCGGTGCAATTGGGGGCTCCCCGGCAGCCCTTGCTGCAAGCTATTCCTTGACAAGAAAATCGGCTAGCCCCAGAGGCTAGCTTTCGTGCCCAGGCTGTCCGCCACTCTGAGGGGCAAGCACCTTTGAATTGACGTAAAGCGAGGCCGTAGAGCGAATGCCGAAAGCCAACACCGCCGTGGATGACACCACATCGGCAATCAGTTGTCCATGCTTGCTTAGCACAAACTTTGGAAGGCAGCTTCAGGTCAAATGCTTGCAACACTTGACAGTCTGCATAGTCATTGGCACAATCCTTTGGGCACTGTGCCACGATTGTGCTGGGGCAGTGCAGCTAGAACACAGCCATGCTGAAAAACCAGCTGCTGCTTGAACCAAGTTGCTCCATGCAGCTATGTGTAACATTGACGGGGCAATCATGAGACCTTGTGGTCATGTTCATGGCCTCTACCAACTGACAAGCTCCAGCTTGAGCCCAAAGACGAACGCGCCCGCATTGCTACATTCGCTACCCCGTGCTTCGAAAGCAACGAAATCATTGCAATTCGGAACGCCAGGGCGGATGACAGGTGGAAGCCTCTGCAACAGCAGCAGCGGCTTCCCGCAATGCGGTTTCCCTTGGCGTGGAACGGTTTTGAAAACTTGCCATACTCTGGATGCCAAAACCAACTGCCTGACTACACACCATATTTACCAAAGTATAGGTGACTTGAGGTCATGTAGGACTTCTGTCATCAACCGCAGCTGCCGCCAGAAAAAAACATAGATTCACATGTGGGCAGAACATGTGCGTACTGTACTGTCTGGAAGTCATGCGCACGATCCGAGTCATGCAAGCAGCCCTTCACAAATCGCCAGATTTCAAGCGTGGCCAAGCTGATGTCGCAGAGACTGTGCAAAAGGGTCTCGCATGTGAAGTAATAGGAAAGGCCTTTTGCCTAAGGGCCCCGCTCTGCAGGGTTCAGGACACGGGCAGGGCCTTCCTGATGGCACCCAGCACGACCCGAGTCAGAAATGGGACGGCAATATCAAAGTACAAAGCTGCACACCTCGTTTGCCTCTGGATCTTGTGCCACTGGCCTGGCATCGCAGCAGTTGGAATTTTGTCCACAGACCAATTGCTTCCTGACTGCTTTGCTGCATGGATGGGGCAGGCACTTTCCGAGCCAGGACCTTATTGCCATGGCGCTGCTTACGCACAGGGTCGGGCTCAGAAATGTTCAGAATCATGGCTGGCGAAGAGGTTAACTCTACACAGATCTTCGCCGGCACAGCCTTCATGAAACAAAGAGGCCCTGACACACGTGTCTCCGGGAAATAGCCATGACGTTCTGGAGATCCAACCACGCGGCCTGCAACCGAGCGAGGATTGCCCGCAAACTGCCTGCCACCGCAACTGGACTTAACACTGCAAATACATGTAAGGCTTCCGCCATAAACCCAGCCACCGCCGCTGGCCGCAACCTCAACGGCATCAACACCCCTTCAAAAATCTGATTTCTTCAAACTCTCCTGGCCTCCACCACATCGCCCTGACATCGCATAAGGCTTCGGTCAAGAACAACATCCATTTCGCTTGACCTGAACTCTGACCTGAACCATCCGAACCTGGATCGCCCTTTTGTGAACTCAGGTGTCCCTCGGCCCACCTCAGCCAGTGACAGGCAGCTTTCTGCGAAGGCCACCTGCATAGTTCAGGCTTCAAGTAATGCGCGCCCTTCTGAAGTCCAAGCGCTGGTATGAGCAGAAAGCAAAAGGCAGAAGATAGGATAAGAACTCGCAGGCCAGCATGTCATTGCCTCCTCCTCTTTGTCACCCGGACCTATCCGAGCTTCAGCTTGTCATCCCTGAAGCTCTCTTGCGTACGTAAGCTTGGTCCAGCACTCCCCGGGGAGTAGCTGTGAACCACCTTCACAAGCCTCAACAGGCGTGATGCTAAAGCCAATGATCATACTCTTCTGCAAGCTTCGAAATTAGGGCACGCGCACCCCTTGGTCAGTCCTCAATTGAACATCACATCAAGGAGTCTGCAGACAAATGAACATGAAAGCGGCCGCGGTGGGGGTCAAGATTAAGTGAGGGCCGCGGTTTTGATATAGTAAAACACTGTATAGACATTGAGCCATGTGGTGCTGCTTGCAAGCGTCTTGGCTGCGTCGCCATTGCCCTCGCAGGCTCCTCAGGAAAGGATGCGGTGCTGGGCTAAGCGACGTGTTCTGAAAACAGGTTGGCGATTGCCCTTATCCCCAAGTGGCCATTTTGCCGCTGAGGTCGGCTCCAAGCCAAGTCGCCCGGTTCTCAGGGAAGTAGCCTGCTCGCTCTGGGTGTCCAGCCACCTGCCCGAAGAGGAGACATCGGAGACGATCCACGAATCGCAAACTGCTAGGGTACCGAGCCACACTCTGGCTTAAGTTTATAGAGAAGCGTGCGCAAGTTCAGCTTTGAGCCTGGCCATAGAGCCAGCCAGAACCACCGGCCAAGACCTGCATTTGCCAGCTCTGGCCGGCCTACTGTTGGAAATCCAAAGTGCAAGTAAGCAAGCACATCAAAATCAATTGCAAAATACATCGTCCCAGTTCCAAGTTCTGTCCTACATACTCACCTAATGTACTTCTTAAGAGTCTTAACTCCGGAGCCTCGTGGAGTCTGTAGCTTTCCGGGTCAGAACGCTGTGCAACTCATCGCTGCCACCCTGCCTCCACCATTTCACCTGCCTCAAGGTGCAGGCCTCAAGCCATTTGCTATATGGGCTGCTGGACTGTCGAAAGCACAGAGTCAAAATGGGCAAAGTAAACGTTCACAGCACTCCGTTGGTTTGCCGTATGAATGCAGCAGGCAAAGGGAACGGCATACAGCACAATCAGAGCTCGTCCATGTTTTGATTGAGCTACCGACAATTGTCCCGCAAGTTCTCGCACTCAGCGACGTCTCCCGGGGCAAACCTTGCGCTGTACAAGATTCTGACACAGCGGTAGGCGAGACAGAGTGCCTGTGTGAAAGTGCCCCACTTACGCGCTCCATGTGCTCCATTGAAAATTGAATTGTGATGTTCACGCACGCTGCCCCAAACTGAGGCATGTATGCAGCTTCCATCTATAAACTCTATAGAAAGGAACAGGGCTCTGTAACTCAAAGATGGCAAAGGCTCGGGCTTGTCCTGTAGGAGCGGTTCCTTTTTCTCAGGAATGGAAGCCAGGACTTTAACATGCTCCTTCCAAGGCGCCGTGCAAACAGCAGTAACACGATGGAATCTGCTCGACCGGATGAGCCCTCTTTCGCCTCTGCCTCCCCTCACCCACAAAGGTTTCAATGGTGGGCGTGTGCGTAGCCGCAAACCGTACGACCGAACGGCAACCCAGGTCGAGCATTTGACTCCAAAGTGTCCAAGCTTGGGGCCCATGATCCACGAAGACCAAGGCATGCTGATCTGCGCAAGCAACCTGTGCCACGTCAGCTGCAGGCGCTGATATTTCATTCCGAGATTCAGCCCTGGCCTCAGCGCGAGGAATCTTCCCGATCCATGACCTCACATCGCGGAACCATGCAGCACCCTGCAGCCTCATGGGTACTTTTGAATATTGCGGCAGGAACTTTTTTCCGCGCTCTCGCAGGTTTCTCAGGGTTTCCAATTCGCTTTACAGTCTGTCCTGACCATGTTGGCCTGCAGCAGCCAGGCCTCTGCCGGGTTCATGAGCGTCTCAGTGATATCGGTTGAATGATTCGGACGGCTGGGCCAGGCTTCAACTGGCCATGGCTCAGCAAACATGGTTCCTGCAACAGCTACGTAACGACTTTCTTGTTTGCCGCTGTGTAGAGTGCGGAGTGTGTAGCCCCTAGCAGCGTGAGGGATCGGCCTTTCACACATCGAGAAGGTCAGGCTAAACAGCATGCAAGGCTGCAAGACCGATCCATCTTCAAACATCATGCGAGGCGTCGAATGATACGTGAGACATGATCCGGCATTTAACCAGACTCCCGGAGGACCAATTAATGTCTGTACGACTATACGGTCTGTACGCAACACTTCTGCAAAGCATACCGCTCAGGGAACAAAGACTCTGGCCTTAACAGTGCCATGTCCCTGGACGGGCGCGGGCGGGACAACGGCTTGAAGGGTTTCCAATACAATTCCAGCTTGCCTGGGGATTGGCAGTGTAGCTGCTTTTCGACAATTAGTAATTGCGTTCAAGCTGCACGCTGCCTGCAAGAAGCGCAGAATCTGTGGCTAAGCACTTCAAAAAAGGGGTCTCTCAGGTCTAATTTGGCGACCAGTCTGAAGGTCTGACATCTTCATTCTATTCTGAGTGGCTGCCACACCACGGATGGATTCCAAATTGCAGGCTAGCAGCATTGTCAATGCTTGGAAGCAAAGCATTCCTTGAATACTGATCGCCAGAATGGAACCTGATGCTCCGGATTCTGGGCTGCGGCAGCAAAAGGCTGCAGCAAGGGTGGCTTCGGAGGGGAAGATTCCAAGCAACAAGGAAAGCACCCTTCGTTTCCAAACAACTACAACCTGTCTCAGTGCCTATCTCATTTATCCAGCTGAAAAACCATTTGCTCCCCGCCTAAACCTCGCCATGTGCCCTCATGATCCATGCATTTTTTGTATTCTCTTAGGCCACTTGCTCGAGCTGCTGGCAAGGGCCTAGGACAAATGCCCCGCTTTTCGCCGGGGCTGCTGGTCATCTATTGCCGCCTTGCCGTGAAATACCTACGTCCACCCGTTAATGGTCCCTTGGTATTGGCAGTAGCTCATGTGGAAACCCTCAACTGGCAACATGCAGTTCCAAGAAATGGTTGTGACTCCACGCACTGCAAGATGTCCAGCTCTGCGCAAGCGCAGACTTAAAATGTAAGGCATAGGCAATGGTAAAGTCCAGCGCCGTGCTAAGTCCTGCGCTTTGCTAGGGCAGGCGAGGCACCTCCTTCAACAACTCTATACGAGGAGTCATTCCTGTTGAGCAACTGCGCTGTAGTTGTCAAAGCTCCTGGTATTGATCCGGAGACAGAAATCAAGAGTAGGTGTCCGAGGAATGCCTGATGGCGCCTCGCTGCCAAATCTTGCAGTGCCTCGCTCACTGCTGTATCACTTTCCAAGGATCAGCTTTGAAACGTCCTGCGAGACAAAAGGATGCCGTGTTGCTCGCTTACACTCCACTTGGCTAACACGTACACGATGTGCATGTAGAGGGAGGGAGAGTACGAAAACATATTTTCGCGCACACTCCTGGATGATCTTGGAGGGGCGCCTGCACTGGTATGCTAACACGATAGGTGAGATGTGCAGCATTCAGCATGTGCAAACAAATCACGTCCCCGTCCGTGGACTGCAACGAGGCCTTCCAAGGCTGTTGCGCCGCCTCTTGTCCTCAAGCTCATCCACGACAGCCTCAGCACCGACTTGTGTCACCAATTGCTATGTTTTGGAGCCAAACCCAACGCCTTCAAATGACGTGCCGGGCAGCAGTTTCAATCTTGGATGGCCGTCGTCTCCATCCACTCCGTGAATTCGATTCTTCCTGAATGCCAGGGCAAAGAGCTTCAAAAGGTCTTAAACCGCTTGAGGAGGTGCCTGCCTTGATCTCAACATCTGGAGCGATGGCCTCACGCCACAGTCCTTCAAACGCTACAGGAATTTTCCCGCAGCTGTCAGCAGAGTCTCCCTGCCAAATCGAAAAAAGCTTTTACAATCATCAGCGCTAGTTCTGGTAGACTGCAGGCTTTGGCCCAAATCTTGCACCTTTGATCGGATCAGGTGCACTTCTGATGCTAAAATCACCCGTCACCCGTTGTTTTGATTTGAGTTGCGACTCCTGCAGCAGGCTCTTTGTCATGGTCGTAGTTGGCCATGTCAAACGGGAGGGCATCGCGGTAATTCACTCCAAGTCCTTAGCGCCAAAGCCATCATAGAATGCAGCAGGTCCGATCCACTGACTTTGCCCCTGTGGCATCCGTGCTCTTAAGGCTGCAGTACCAGAGCACCACCTCATGGCGTTTAGAAGAAGGGTGTAATCATTTTGCCAGAGATCTTGCTGCTGCCAAGTGTCCTGCAACCATTGTGCAACAAAGGAAAGCTGCGCTAAAGGTGCTTTCGCGACTGCCAGAGCTTGAGCCTTCAATGAAAGTTGCCGCGGCACATGTCCGTGAGGCACTCTCCCACCGCGTTCACAGGCTGTACAAGCCCTTCAGTATAGTAGCTTAGAGCGATAGTTATTCCAAGCAAACTGGCCCAAGTCCTCAACTTGGGCAGCACGGTGCGAGCATACCGTTCTGCTTTCGGGATTATGAAGTCTCACCGCGCTCTAGTGACTCCAGTACTATCCTGAATACTTTATCCGCAGTCTATGATGAAACTTGGACTTGCCACCAACGGTTGAAACGTGGTTGAAAGGTGCAAGGCATCGCAAGCTGAGGATAGCTGAGGTGCCCGCACTCGGTTTTCAGGAAAGTAGCCCATGCGAGCAACGTCGCCACTTCCTGACAGAATCTTGCAGCCCGTTTCCAATTCCAAAACGGCCTCGCGGAACGAGCTCTTTCACAAGGAATAGACTCAAGGAAACCCTTCAACAATTCTTTTCAATTCCACCATATATGTAGGCAGAGAGGTCCACCAACAATTGCCCTAGCTCTATTTAGCGTGCCGACCTCTTAACTTGGTGTGGAATTACAACATGGCTCTTCATCTGTCCGTTTTCCGCAGGGGCAGCCTACGCCATAGACATGCCCGGCACGGCCTGAAACGACGCGTCCATAAAACCAGCCGCCACCACCTTCATTTTCCATCACGAGACAAGTGCAGGAAGGAAGCACCGCTCATGCTATGCCCACGCCATGCCTGCCACAACCTCCACGATATCTCCTTCAGAGAGATCTAGACAGCTTTCTCGGAAGACCTCAGGTCCAACCATGACAAGCCTCCTGACCGAAATCTGGCAGGGTTGAGGCGCACGGCCTTGTCATCTTCCACGTCGGAAGGAGCAAAAGCACATGCCACGTGTGCCAGAACCTTGCTGGTTGTCAAGGCTGTCAAGGAATCGGGCAAAGCAAAACGTGTCGTAGATGCAGCATTGTTACTTGTGGTGCTCCTGTACAGGTTACGGTCCAGCTTAAAGCTTCTGCATATTATGAACGCTGTGAAGATGGAACCTGCGTTGTGGCCTAATGCAAATGCCTGGCCGCAGCGAGATGCAGCGAGCAAAAAGCTAAGATCTCAGCTCTGTCGACATCTGGACTTTGTGCTACTTTGTGCTCTTCCTCTGCGTCATCCATGACCTTCCAATTCTGCACTTGTGCAGCAAAAACCATAGCATGCAAAGCAGCAGTGAAGGAACAACTCTTGCAGCCACGCCGCCTTGAGCCGAGCTCGTCGCATTTTGGCCTCACTGCTCCAGACTTATCACACGCTCTGCCTGCTGCAAGGGCAATATCAAGCTTTCCTCAATGAATGCTCGCACAGCGCGTACGGCAACGGCGTAGGCTAGCATTCATGGATTAGTAGTCCTTCGACAGAATGGGCGCCCTGCCCATGCACTCACTCCGAGTGTCGCAGCAAGAACCAGAACCACTGCCAGAATCCTGAGCCAGCCAGCAGAAAACGACTGCAACCCAATACTCTCCCTGATTGCTCTCAATCATTTTCCGTTGAACGTCTTTCAAGATGTTGGAACCATCCTTTCTACACGTACTGCATCTGACGCCATTTTTGCAACAATCAGTGTATGCTCACAATGTGTGTCCATCAGGGGCTCAGCACGTCGGACCAGTCAATCATACATTGAAGATGGCTGCATGCTGCATGCGCGCCGCTAGGCGACCGGCAAGAAAATGATTAGGGCAGAGCCATCGTCAGTATTTGGCTGGTCGACGGCTTGGCCTCGCAGGCATGACTCAGCAACACTGTGAAGCCTCAGGCTAAATCCATCAGTCCGAATACCAGCGCAGCATAGAAGTCTTCGCAAGGAGCACATTAGCACATGGATGCCTCCTGTTGGCGGTTCACCTTGCTGCGTATCCTTGGTACAGCAAACTAATTGCTTCCACTTCGCGAGCCAACCCAAATTCCAAATTTCTTCAGGTGGCCGGGAGCATGACGACTGGGCTGCCAATTTTTCTGAGATTGCAGATACGGCTTTGCCCCCTATCCACGTACTACGTCTGTTGGCCCTGGCATCATAATCGCAGCCTGTTAACGTTGCAGGAGCTGTGCACATGCTGCGCCCTGTCGCAATACAGGGCTCCCAACATTGTTCGTGCCGGCACCTGAGTATCCGACTTCTTATCCATCCGAACAGTACGGAATGACAGGCCAGTACGGCAGTCGGAACTTTTAAATACTAAATACCTCCTGCACGATTACACATTCATGCGGACATGAGCTCTGAGTCCCAGCCTCTGTTGCCTGTGTCCGTCAAATTTACAAACTCGAGGACCGACAAGGTTGCTCCAGTCCCAGCCTAAAAGACATTGGATCTGCATTTCTAAAGCCAGCATTCGATTTTACACTTTGAGAGCTGCGCCCCGAAGGCTGCATAAGTCTGGACCTGGTGTAAAACCCAGCTTCCACTCAGAATCTCTCAGGCTTCAGGCTTGCATTTGGTCGGCTTTCTTGTGGCCCTTAAGCAAAATCTTAATGTTGCACTCACTGTTGCCAAGAGACTCTCTTCAAACTTTAATGAGTTTCAGCCGCCGCTTAATTAAAGAGTTTCGGCCTATCGTTTCACGACTCTCTTTAATGTGTTTTGGTTTTGGGCCCCTACCCGAATGCAGACCATCTTTTTTTCAAGTTATTCCCAAGGCCTCGCCGGGGCACTTAATATTGTGGCAGCCTTATTGAGGACATCTATTTTTCATTTCCTTGAGGCCCTCTTGTTACAAGTAGGGGGGAGGGGAGGCCATACACCAAAGAGAGTGCAACATTGCTGGCCGCAAGAATTTGGCTTTGATATCTGCTTCTCTTGGACTCTATTCCCGATCTCAAGTCCACATGAAGAGAAAACATGGCTCCAAACCTTCATGATGAATGCAGACTCGAAATCGGCGGGCTCAACAGCCACCTGCCGCGCGACGTCTTCAAGATTTAGGCAAAGCGTCTCTAATGCAAAGACATGCATCACTGGCCAACAGACAGGATAAGCTTGGATATGCCCTGAGTGGAGCAAACATGCAACAGGTTCTGGTGGCACGGAGCACAAGCCGAAATTCAGGTCGAAAATGAGCAACGATGTTGGGACCTCACTGTACTGTTCCACACCGCTTCTGCGCAAAAGTGGCTTGAGCAAAGCTCGCAACCAGTCTGGGGACAGGGCAGCAAGGTCCTGGACCTCTCCCACGGAAGTAATGAGTTTGGCCTTCGAGACGTTCACCTGACATCCCTCCTTACAACTGCAGCCTTCCACAACCGGAAGATTATATTATGCATGAGCCTTGTCCGAGCCCCAAGGTGCAAACGTGACCCTGGCCTCCTCGACGGAGGTTGCCAAGCCAGCAGCCGCGCCTAAGGCGACCAGCTGCTGCAGCTTGGCCTCGTCGCTTCACATCCGCCTACATGCTCAGCAATGCAATCCCTGCATACCCCCCTCTTATCGAGTTATGTAGATTATAGTGTATTAGGCCAAGAAGCCATATCCTCCGCGCTCTTCTCATAAGTCATCGGGCACATTTGCACATGGGGGGAAGAGCTGAGACACGCGCAGACGGTACCCCAGCCTGCAAATCCTGAGTTCGGAGGCGGATGCGGCAACCGTCTCACAGGGTGCTTATGCTGGCCTCCACCCTGAGCTCGGGAGAGGCAAAAGCAGCGCCGGTTATGGTGATGTTGAACGTGACGTTGCACTGCGAGCGGGACACGCCCACAAACTGCTTACCAGAGCTTCGATGCAATCAATGTATTCAGTCGACAGAATGGGCTTGAACAAGGCTTACGAGCCGTCACGTTGTTGTCATCATGGTCATGACAATCCACCGCTCTTACTTTTCCATCTTTAAAGCTGGTGGGCTGCGAGCAAGCATAGAAGGCATCGAAATGCCTGGCATGGCTTCTGCTGACATTCTGCTGACAAAGCTCTCTTCAGCCGTCCAGCATGTCAACACCACGTGCGATGCCACCGATGGGCCGAGATCCGTGCCAAAAGCGCCACAAAGACTGGCTGCCTTGCACCCCCTCCCATCTGGGGTTGCTCGGGCTGGCGCATGGTCAAGCCTGGGCGCTCGTTCCAAAAACAAAGGACACGGCAGGCTTTACCCAATCGCTTAGCACACCCATGTGCCCTTTTACTCTGCTGCCGTGGCAAACAGCCCTCAAGGGCATCTCATGTTGGAAAGCTAGAGCCATTTACAAAGGCGTCCGACATTTGCCGGAAGACCTGACCGCGAGGGACCATTCTGTGAGCCGTGTCCTCAGAGCTGCGACCATCCAGGGCATTACGCAACAAATATTCCAGAGGGCGGCGGATTGCTACTATACAGGCCCCACTCGTGAGCGGACTGTCATGAGTCATGAAAGATCACTCTTTGCAGGGACTACAGTCACTCATGCAAGGAGACTATGGAACCCCACAGTAAAGCTTCTTCAAGGATTGCTGGCCAAGAAGCATCGCCCACTTCGCAAACGCAGGACAGCTTCTCATCGCTCAACGGAGCTGGTCTCAACCAGTCAAGCAAGACATAGCCGGAGTTGTTGACGGGGACGCTCTTGACAACCTTGCTGGCAGCTCCATCACAAGTGATAGAAAACGGAATCAAATGGAACATCAACAGGAAGCTGTGATTAGTAGTATCCGTTTCATTTTCTATTTGAGTCTCCATTGGCCCGCAACAATCCAGTTCAGACCAGGCTCTGCATCATACACGGCTCCATCACCAGCCTTTCTCCATATTTGTCTAGAAGAGCAGTCAATCTCGCTGCTAAAAATACATCCTCTTCATATAATACATTATAATACCATTCGATTCTTTCAGCCGCGCCAAGCAGAGCAGCGCCCTCAGCTAAGGTTTGAGCCCAAACTGCCCGAACTCGTACACCAGGTGATAGTGGCAGGGCCCGCTCCCCCGGCGACAAGATACTGAGGGTTGTCGGCTCCGACATCCCGATACCATTAGCAGCCCTCACCTTACATACGCCCAGCTGTGTCCATGCCCAGGTCCACTGCTCAATTTGCTTGGGTGGCCTGCCGGCGATCCTTTGCAGAAAAAAAGCTGAGCGGCCTCAAGTGTCATCTCTTCCCCAGTGGGCAGGCCTGTTGCCCAGAGTGGCTCACCAGGGCGTGCTGATGCCACTGGATCTGTGGACGGAGATCCCTCAGCTAGCTCAATTCTCTTAGCATGGCTACCAGCATGGCCGCACATGATGCAAGCTGTCCAAAGTCCGCCTGGATGAACACCAGGAACTCCTCCTTATGATGAGTCCAAGCCATAAGCGTGAATGGCCAGGCAGCTCAAACCAGCTTGGAAGTGTCTCTGCAGCCGTGCTTCCACAGGTTTGGGGCTGTCAATTGTGCCGCTGAAAGGACTCGACCCTGTCTCATCGCTGAGGGGGAAGAACACCGTAGTCATACTAGAAAAACGTCATTATAGTAATGGTAATTTTAAAATCTGCCGACCCCAGGGGCGGCGCCCAGCAGGTTCCTGTGACTACTCGCAAACCTACCACCCCAACTCTTTTGCTGATTCTCTCACCTCCGCCCGGTTCCCTACCGCCATTTCCCTTTTGTTTGCCCTCTTTCATTCATTTCTCTATCTGCCCCCAGCATTCCCCCGCCAGCTCTGAGGCCGCCCACCCCCCCCCCAAACCTGCCCTCACCCACACCCCACTCTCCCTCCACCCGCCAACCCCCCCCCCTCCCCCCCCACCTCT